TATCGATGGAGTCAGCCCAGCTCAAGCCTTGATGAGCCGAAGACTTCGCTCCACCCTTCCTGTCGCAACCACAAAGCTCGACCCTTCGCTGATCAACAGCTCCACTTTTCGGTCTTCCCGAGAAAATGAGCAAGAACGACAGCAAAAGTACTTCAATAGAAATGCAAAGAATCTTCCTTCGTTAGCAATAGGCGAGACTGTGAGATTCAAGAAAGATCCTGATTCAAAGTGGACGCTGGCTACTGTTGTGGAGAAACTATCAACTCCGCGAAGTTATCTACTCCAAGCTGAAAATGGATCAAGATATAGAAGAAACAGAATTCATATACGCAAGACTAACGAGAGACCTCTACAAACAGACAGTCCAGACCAAGTGGAGAATCTTATGCCAACAACCATCACCGAAACACAACCAAAGGTACCGAGCACGAGCACTCCAACTAACCCATCCACAACGCAGGCTACCAAGAAAACAAGTCGTTATGGAAGAGTGATCAACCCTAATCCAATATATAAAACTTAAGACTTTCAGTACAATAGTTTTAAGAACCACATCCAACGACTGATCGCAATCAAAGATCTGAAACATTTCTAAATTAGTTATATTTCAGTTTTGTTATGTTTTAATAGGATAAATAAATTTAATCAATTTAATCTGAAAAAGGGAGATGTAATATAATCTGATTGCTAATGATTATTTAATTAATTATTGTTGACACTATGATCTAAGACCTCGAGAGCCTAGATATTGTTATAGACAGTTGAACTAGAGACACGTAAGCAGTAACACCTATATGTATAATACTATAGAAGTTATAAATAAAAGACTAGAACTTATTACAGAAATATCTTGGCAAGATCCTAAAGATCATGAAAGATTTGGTGTCTCACGCTTTTGGATTAAGCTGAAGAAGGAAAACTCTCTAATCCTCAACATTACCACAGGAAAAGTGAACACATATGAAATAAATAATCTCACTCCAGATACTACATATGAAATATCGGTAGCTGCTGAAACTGATTATTTTGGTTTTGGTGAAGAGAGTATTACTTCGTTCTTAACATCTAAAGAAGGTGAGTGTTAAAAGATATGTGTTTTTCTGCAAAGCAAGACATTGTTCCTTTGTGCACTCAAAATTTCTACTTCAGTTAATACATAGAATTTAAATAAAAATATCTGTTTATATATATATACTGTAGCTCCGAGCGGTCCTCCATTGAACATCAGAACCACATCAACAAGTGCATCGTTATTGTCTTTCGTTTGGGATCCTCCTGACACAACTAAACAAAATGGCGTCGTTATCAGTTATACAGCGTGTGTTTCACATTCAAAAAATGGCTTTTGCTTTCTGACATTCATTATAAGTGAAAGGAGATGGCTTGTTGTTTATTTGAGTCCATTAACAAAATATTATGTTCGTGTTCTTGCAAGTACGAAAGCTGGTCATGGAAGCTACCGTGAAAGTGAAGGATTTTTTACATAGAAGTAAGAACAACGCCCATGTCGTATGTCGTATATATTGCTATTTTCCGGTTTTGATGGAAACATGTTTATACTTGGTGATGGCAGAAATACTTATGATCCAATTTCGCGAAAACGGAGGTCAACTCCAAGTGATTATTTTAATGGTCCTTTGGAGCCTGGCACTAGTTACAGTGTTTTTCAAAGAATTATTATCAATGAAATGGTATTGGGGTGTGGGGACAGCAAACTTTCATTTGGACGCACTGATCAATAAGTATAGGTTATGTTGAGGCAACGAGGGGATATGTGATTTATTCACCGAGGCGCGCAGCGCCGAGGTGAATAAACACATATCCCCGAGGTGCCTCAAAATAACGTACTTATTTTTCACATTGCGAGGTCGAGTTAATGAGTCAGAATATGGAAATAATTCTTAATGCCATATATTGCCTTCGTTATGTTGTTTTTTCCTCATTTTTTGTGCTGCAAGGACATTGCAGGTGAATATTAGAGGGGATTATTAATAAACGGAAATTGATTAGAGGGGAATATTGAATATATTCCCCGATAAGAACAAAGGAAACCGAACAGGGTGAAAAATAAATTAATAAATTCTCGCCTTCTTTAATATAGGGTGATTATTTTTCCACTGACTGGAGTCCTCTTTCAAAAACGAGGTAAATCAATGACCACCGACAATGGGCATCGCCAATGTTTACGATAAATGACAATCAGGCTTAATAACTAATTGATGTATTCTAATTAAGGACTTGAAATTAATTAGCCAAGGACCGTGCGTAATAATTAAGCAGATCTAATTGATACTAATAACTAATCGATGTATTATAATTAAGGACTTGGAATTAATTCAATTTAATGTATTATAATTAAGGACTTGGAACATTCTTGTGCTCCGAATAGACCTTGAAAAATGAGTATGATGGGGGCCTCCTCAACCGTTTCGAACATCTTGTACAGTTATTTTAATATTAAAAGGAGCAAACTGATTTGGACTGGATCGCTCGAAACTCTGAAAGCGTTTGTCCTCACAGAGATTGACGAAGAAACTGCCGAAACAACTACATGACGCTCGCCCAGTGGCGGTAAATGGCTATTTGACAGCAAGTTGTTATCAGTTACTTGGCTAACAAAAAGCCAGAATATTTATTTCGACGGTGAGAAGGGCAGTGACTTGATGGAACGAATACATTCACTTTTAAAGCAAGACCCGGACAATGCTTTAGAAATCGCTAATCCTGCTGAACTTGATCTAGAACGGTAGATTGAAAGTTTGCTAGCTGACGATTCTGACGATGTCTCAGATGATACTTTTGAAGAATCGTTCAGTGATCAATGTGATATTGCAAAGGAATTGAAAAACCAAGAGGAAAAATAAGCCAGTATAGATTCCAAAACCAGTTCAATGCACGATGAATCGAACACGAAGTCAAAAAAATTGCATGAAGAGTCCATCGGTCTATATACGGTGACAAAGTCTGGCAATCTGCAAACAAAATCAACAAATAGGCATAATCCCTTGGGAAGTAGTGCCATGCAGCTGTAATCGCGACTCCGCTGAGATTAGTCGACTGAATTCGAAACTTGACAGATTTTCTGAAAACGTGACAAACAAATTACAAAATCTCAGCGTCGAGATAAACAACATTAAAGAGAACAAACCCTACTCTATTTGGGTTTTAGAAAACGTAGTCAATGATCTAAAGGAAGATAAGCTTGTGCTAATTAGAAAGAACGACGAACTCAGGGAACAAAACATGGATATGTCTCATATTATATCTGATTTGAAAATGGCAAACAAGAATCTGGAAAGCGAAAAGAGCTGCCTGTTGACAGCTCTTAAATTAATACAAAATGACCACCAACAAACGTGCACGAAAACAATTGTGGAAAATGACGGCGAGAATAATGTGGAATTGGTTTGCAAAGCAATAGAGGGAAGTGAAGTCACTCACCCAAAACCTTCATCTAATCAGCCCGCAAACGATAAGCATCTTTTACCGAAGCTAGTACTGGGAAAAATCGTAAAAAGAAGGGAAAGAAATCTAAGTCCAAACCTCCAACACAAAATTCCAGCCAACAAACTGCGGATGTAGATACTTCTGGTGGTATTGTGAACACCTAAGGTTCTAAATCAACGGGGCAAGGCAAGAAAACAATTGTTATTGCAGGGGACTCAATTGTTAAAAATACAATTGGTCCGAAAATGAGTGCTGACGATCCTAATCACCATTTTATTGTAAAGCCGTTCCCTGGAGCAACAGTCTCAGATATGGAGGATTTTGTCAAGCCATTGACAAGAAGGACACCAGAAAAGATGATCTTACACGTCGGAACAAATGACCTGAGAAGTCATTCTACGCCGAAAATAATAGCTGACTCCATTGTCAACATTGTAACACAAATAAAAGAAGATTCACCAGGTACAGCCGTTGGAATTTCAGCTATTCTGGTATGAAATGACAATAATGACCTAGCTGCTAAAGCTATTCAAACTAATAATATTCTTAAAAGCTATTGTAGTCGCAATAGAATCCCCTTTTTAAGTAATTCAAATATGAATGCAAGTCACTTAAATATGAGGGGTCTTCATTTAAATAGACAAGGTAGTTTAGCTTTACAACAAAACTTACTAGGTTTTGCAAAAACTATTTCAGATTGACTTTATCCTACTCAGTCCGTTATTCCTAACTCGCGCGGGTTTAAGCTCGCGGCACTTAATGTGAGAAGCCTAGTAAATCATATTGATGAGCTGCGAGTTTCGCTTGCTACTAGCCCGATCGATGTCCTAACAATAAATGAGACATGGCTTAATTCTACAATAAGCGATAACGATGTATATATACCTGGATACGAAATCATACGTCGTGACAGGGCATTTAGAAGTGCAGATGGAAAAACGTATGGAAGTGTTTGTTTTTATGTACGCTCCAGCGTAAATTTCATACAGCGTAAAGACATGTCTATTGATAATTTAGAAAATCTATGTATTCAAATTCAAAAACCAATTTCTAAGCCATTTCTCGTTGCGACATGGTACAGGCCACCAAATTCGAATGTTGATAAATTTAATTATTTTGAGACATTTATTGACATGCTTGATGCTGAAAATGTCGAGTACTATTTATTGGGTGACCTAAATTGTGATCTCGGGTCGCCTGATTTAGAGAGTAATTCGAGATCATTAATAGGCATCACTGAGCTCTATGGTTTACATCAATTGATACGTGAACCGACTCGAATTACTGAAACTTCCTCAACTATGATTGATCATATATTCACCAATACACCAGATAAAATTGTTTGCTCCGGTGTTTCTCATGTCGGTATTAGTGATCACAGCTTAATTTATGCATTCCGTAAGCTTTAAAACCGGTCTACACAATAAAGGCCAATCTACAGTAAATTATCGAAAATTTAAAAATTTTAACTCTGAAAGTTTTCGAAGTGATATTTTTCACAGAATTGGGACGTCATAAGGGCGTATAATAATCCGAATGATATGTGGCGTGTGTGGAAAACGACCTTTAATAACGTAGTGGAAATGCATGCGCCTTTACGGACAAGGCGGGTAAGACTTTCTAAGTCGCCCTGGATCACGCCTGAGTTAAAAAGACATATGCATGAAAGAGATATTTTAAAAATCAAGGCTATTCGATCTAAAGATATTTATGACTGGGCTGCTTTTAAGAAAGCTCGCAACTCTGTGAACAATGAAATTAAATTTGCGAAGAAAGCCCATTATATGAATGCTTTTCATGAAAACGAGAGTAATGTGAAAAAAAACTTGGGGTATTATTAATGAACTAACCTCAAGAAAACAAAATAATTCACATGTAAAAGAGATTAAACTAAATGGTTCTTCAGTTAGTGACCCCCCGGGGTTATCAGAGACGTTTAACACTCATTTTTCTAGCATTGGCCTAAGCTTATGGAGAAGATACCTTGTGATGAAAATAACTGCTCATATTTAGAATATCTCAATTGCCATATTAGTGGTAATACTTTTGAGTTGAAGTCGACAACTTCATCAATGGTTTGTTCACTTTTGAACAAACTCTGTAAATCTAAAGCAACTGGCCTAGATAAAATATCTGCTAAGCTTCTTCGCTACTGTCCTGACCTACTGTCTGAATCCCTTACCGTAATTTTCAATTGCTCTATTAATACCGGTATCTTTCCTGATGAATGGAAATGCTCAAAAGTCATTCCATTATTTAAACACGGTGAGCGTAGGGACTTGAATAATTATCGCCCGATTTCGATATTCCCTGTTGTAGCGAAGGTTTTCGAGCGAATTATTTATGATCAAATCTATGCCTTTCTTACCGACAACAATTTACTATGTAATAGCCAGTCAGGGTTTCGATGTCTACATTCAACTGTCACCGCGCTTCTTGAGTCCACCAATAACTGGGCATACAACATTGACCAAGGCCGAGTTAATGCTGTAGTTTTCCTAGATCTTAAGAAAGCGTTTGACACAGTTACCCATGGAATTTTACTATCAAAACTGAATGCGTATGGTCTTGGGGGTGCTGTGGGTAATTGGTTTAAGTCTTATCTAAGTGACCGCAGTCAAAAATGCTATGTTAATGGTCACCTTTCTAACAATCGTACGTTACTCTGTGGTATTCCACAGGGGACTATTTTAGGACCATTGTTATTTTTACTGTATATAAATGACTTACCAAATTGCCTTGAGCACTCCCAAGCACGAATGTACGCGGATGATACTAATTTAACATTTGCAAGTAACAATATTGACGACATAAATTATCACCTTAATCATGACCTTGCAAATGTGAACAAATGGCTTATCGCCAATAAGCTTACTCTAAATCAATCCAAAACTGAATTTATGCTAATTGGCTCACGACAAAGAATAGCCACATTTCGATCTGTTCCATGTTTAGAAATAGACGGGGTTCCTATTGACAAGGTTTTACAAGCAAAGTCTCTCGGAGTGTACCTTGATGAGAATCTATCTTGGAATATACAAATTAATGAATTAACAAAAAAGATTGCTTCTGGTATTGGCGCTTTAAAACGTGTTCGATCATTTGTCCCAGTCGCAACATTGCAATTAATTTTTAATTCCTTGGTTCAGCCATATTTCAATTACTGTTGCACAGTTTGGGACAATTGCAACAAAACCCTAGCTGAAAAACTTCAAAAACTACAAAATCGTGCAGCGAGAGTACTAACATTCTCCAGTTATGACACTAATGCTGATGGTTTAATTGAGAAACTTGGCTGGAAAAAACTATCATCCCAGCGCCAGTTTCAAAAGGCTGTCATGGTCTATAAATCATTAAATGGTCTTGCTCCTGATTACATGCATTCCATGTTTGTAAACCGTGACAGTGTTAATCCTTATTCGCTGAGAAACACTGAGAACAAACTAGCTGTTCCCAAGCCCCGCACAAACTATCTCAAGAATAGCTTTAGCTATAGTGGTGCGGTGCTGTGGAACAGTCTTCCGATTGGGCTACGGCAAGCAAATAACTTGATAAATTTCCGATCGGGCTTTGCCAAATTATTTTAACTTTCCTTGTATATATTGTTATATTAGCTTAGTACACGGCCCTCATGAAAAGCAGGTATTATATTTTCTATTTACTTTAGCGTGGTTCTACTTTTGTAATTTATCTAATTTAGTTTGTTGCATGTTAAATCCTGATGAGAATACCGTGTGTAAATAAAGTTTTAATAATAATAATAATTATAGGTGCGACAGAGGACGTTGCCGTTGGAGCGATGTCTAGCGGCAGCAATTCAAACGTCGCGCTTCTCATACATATATATATATATATATATATATATATATATATATATATATATATATATATATATATATATATATATATATATATATATATATATATATTTTTACGCAAGTTTTTTGCGTGGGGACTTTTTTTGTAGTAATGTATCTAAGGCCCGGTTTAGACGGCGAACTTCTCATGCGCCGAATCTAATGGAAGAATTAAGTGCGACGCTGGAGCGGCGTCTAAATCAATTAAGTTCGACAGGTTTTGATTAAGTTCGACATGACTCGAAGATGCGACAAGACAAGTCGTATATGCGACACAGGTTCGACATTGATTTAGACGCCGTGCTTTTCATGCGCCGAACCTAATGCATAATTATTTTTTAACATCATAATATGATTATCATATATTTGCATTGTAAATATTTCCAATATAATGTCTTCGCAATTTGGTTCGGTGCAATTAAGTTCGACGTCTAAATCAGTTTCCGATATTTTGCCGTATCTACGACAATTAGATTCGGCGCATGAGAAGTTCGC